GTGAAACCTTCAGTATGTTATTCAATGTAGAACATTCTCTGAGAATGTCTACGACATAGTAAAACCTTCCTCGGATGTATTCCTTCTTCTATGCTTGTCTTGAAGGTGCTTCGTCTCGAGCCACCCGTGGTGCAAGATGCGATGACCCTTCTGGTGCACGACAGATATTTGCGACATCCATCAGTGGATAATGCTCTTACAGTAATTCGTGATAGACGATAGCTCTCAGACAGCTTCGGACGACAGTTGAAGGTTGAAGTCATATTTGCGAAGCACTTACAAGGGAATGCTTATATATCCCCCTAGAAGTACAGGTTAGGGATCGGTCTACCGTAACCCATTACGAAGTTCTTTCGAGCGGTCCTACGAAAAAACATAGAAAGGGATGAAGAGTCGATCAAAACTTTCACTCAACCTAATACAAACATCCGTCATGTTCAAAGGTCGTTTTCAAGTAAAAGCCACCTAGTAGGGACGTCGTGGTAAGTAGTGAGAAAGTCATTGTAGGATTTCTGGATCACCTAGAAATAATTATACTCACCTTTTGTATACCAGAGCCCATACGGAATGTATTGAGACCAATTCGGTTGCCTGCAAGTCGCTTCCCGAACAACGCACCAAAAGTGCGTGGGAACATAACTGCTCGCTTCCCTTCCGTGAAGACCTCATATTCCTGTAAAAGAAGTTGTATTTATTCTAACTTTTCACGGAAGAATTTTTCTTTATTTCCTGTGCATAACGTTCGATTAAGAAGGTGAAAGATAGAAAACAGAAGAAAGTTCAACCATTTTTTTGAAAGGAAGCTTTGAAAACAGATGTGAAGGGGGCGTGTCTTGAGGGTATGAGCATCAACGATGCCGCTCAGCTGCGAAGTTGGCGCTGCTAATTCTTCCTCCTTTACAAGTTTATCAACAGTATAGTAACCTGTAAGGTAGCGCTAAGGTGGCTGGCCACCCGAGTGAAAGAGCGAACGACGGGTGTGGGTACTTCTCCCCAAAAATCGCGTTGTGCTTGGCGCACGCGATCGTGCGCAGTCGCGGCTATGTAGGGGAAAGGTTCGAATTCTCAGCTGAAATTAGAGTAGTCGCCGCGAAACCACTGCCGCTTGTCGTAGGAATTCGGGGACAAGTACCGCCACCTAAGAAGAATAAGGATCAGCCAAGCATACGGCATACGAGTCTCATTGTTGTTTAGTAATCATTCCTCGGACCTATATTATTTGCCATCGTGGTTTCAGTTCGAATTTTTAACCTTTGGAAGTGTTTTAGTATTGAGTAGTGAAAGGTTCTGTAATTACTGCAAAATGAATTTCCCTTTACAAACTTAACTTATTACAAACTCGAGTAATTTCTTGTCTGCTAGCCTTGTTTCAACAATTACCTGCAAAAGACTAGAATACCATCTTTCAATGAGAACAAGTTCCCCCTTAATTTCGGTGTTGCGGTATTTCTCTCTTGAAGGTAACCACCCTTTACTGAAGATAAAAGCTAAAGTATTTGGGCGTTGATCGGTCCCGTCAGAGGGATGCACCCCGCATTCGACTTCCGTTCAGAATCGTAGTGGCTTATTGAGTGAGTATGTGGCCCATGCAATGACAGGCGGTGACCAGCTTTTATCCTCCCAGACGAGTCTGATACCAAGTGAACGACCTCAGATGTATGAAAGGTTTGGTTGAACTAGGCGGATATCAATCCAGGCCTATATCCACCCAGGATTCGAACCCGTGGCCATGAGTGTGTGATGGTGTCTCGCTTGCCACTACACCACCTCCGTACTAACGGTCCAAAAAACTGAAAATATCGACTGTTGCAGTGATCACCTGAGTAAAAACAGCGACAACAATCATGAGCGATAGAATTGTGATCCGAAGGTTGTCCATTGGTGCCTGGAAATTGGGTTTTCTTCGAATAGGTAAGTAAAAGTTGCAAAAATTCAAGAAGTTGGTAATCACGATAATCGATTATGAGATAAATAGTCACTCAGAATCATTAAATACATAAAAACAAAGCGGCAAATGAATGTACATGTCGATTAGCGAGTCAATAATCGATCGCTTTCGTTCTCTTTCGTTTCGTAATCCCAAAATCTCACGTAGCTGGAGATGAAGAAGGATGTTAAATAAACAAAGCACTTAATACTATATTGTATAACTTAATTGAAGCACAACTCGATTTATAGGTTTTTTTGAAAAATCGTTGAAACATGAGCTTCAGCTTCACTTTTGCTAGCATCATGGGTTACAGAGAGTCGGCCGTTAGGTCAGGAAGACTCTGTAACTTTTCGATAACTGGGGCACTTCTATGAACTCACGGATTAATCGATTTCTCATCCTCCAACCATAAGCCTAAGGATTATGTAAGCCAACTTATTGTTTCAGTTGGTAATCCCTCATTAACATTCTGCTAATTACACTGGAGAATTCATCTCATCAGATGAGATCGTGACATTCATGCTTCAGCGAACTACGAGAGAAAAATTTTGAGAGGCTGCCAACCCCGGCAGTAACAGGTAATAACAATTAGAATCGTTGAGAAAATCGTTCTGCTAATCCTTCCCATAGTTACTTGAATGTAATCAGAAGTATGTAATAAAAAAGACAGAGGCAAATTATCAAGAAGGCGTAGTAGACGAGTCATGACGAAAGACGAAAAAACTTTTGTTTTTCGGTAGAAGGTAGTCGAATGCTACCAAAAGAAAATCGAGGTCATTTTTGTGGGTAAAATATTATTTTGCAGACAGTATTCATATGAAACGCGTAATTCCGTACTTTTGCTATTAATTTCTGATCAGACGTCATACTAGGATTATCTCAGTATAGACTGACGTTGATGTGACTGATAAGTATGCAATATATTTCTCGCTGAGGAGTTGAGCACTGGTCACCAATTTCCACTTTTACTCGTTACCAGCATGAGGACCATCCTAAAGGGTTAAAGGCACTGTTCGCGATGTCGTGTCCGCCTTTCATTCGGGCTGTCTGACGTGGAGCCGAATGAGAGGCGGACTCGTCATCGACACACCCGCCCATTGATTCATCGCGAACAGTGCCTTTGAATTAAGTTAGTAAATGAGACCGTAGACAACTGGGATGTTTCACTCAGCTTTTCTTTACATGAAGGAAGACTCCACTGTTAGTCATAAAAGAAATTACGAATAATAATGGGTTCATTGGAAGCATTCACTTAATCTCATACCAGGTATGCCCTCAAACGAAGAACACTTCATTCAAAGGCAAGGTTCACGACAATTTCGAGATACCTTTTTTGAGTAGGAAAGGGGAATTATTGGTTGATAAAAGTAAATCGGTTACGAAAAACTAGGAAATCCGTCGCCTCCGCGAGAGGAATATTTTTTAAAAGTAGTAAAACTCGTACGAGATTATATGACGGAAATGATGTGGAAAGGGTATTCAGACGAGATTTCAGTCGTTGCATTTGCACAAGGAAGCAACTACTTCGAGCTATAATTTTCCAAAACTGTCTTCCACTGCCGCCGCGGCTCAAGACAAGCTGTTTGAAGTTCCAGCATGAGAGCCCTTTGTGATGGTGCTGCCTCAAAAATGCCATTAAAACTCGTCCCACTTTGGTGTGGCATGCAACTGCTGCAATCTTTGAGCTCTTATAACGCCCTATTCAGGCTGTTTCCGACCAGACAGCGCCACATATGGTCTTCGAATGGGCCACATATTTATCATAGGTGGATAACTCCAAAGCCGGGCTATTCAACCAACTTTTTGCGTTGCGTTTTAAGGGAGCGTTTTAAGGGACGGCATCTCGTTCGTAGTGTCAATGGGATCAAGTTTTACCCATTTATGACTAATTCCTATCCAACACCTTCTCAAAACAATTCCTCCGCTTTATTAAGCCACTCTGGCCGGATTGGCGATTCGGAAATGATGATAAAAGGCTTGTTAAATAATAAAACTATATGAGTCAGCAAAGTTTGTATTATAATGACTTCTCCTAAAGTATAATCCCATAAAGGTCCAGGAAGGTGGCCTCTGTACTCGTTCTAGACGAACCTTGCGTATCCAGCAGCATCTGGTTATCGCAGGTCTTTCGGCCTATAGGCGAACCTTGCGTATCCAGCAGCATCTGGTTATCGCAGGTCTTTCGGCCTATAGCAGTAAAATGAACAAATTCGAATCATGATTCGAGTAAAGACAGATGAGCGGCCGGACGTTGTGATGGTGATATTTTAAAGTAAGTTTTTCGCGTGACTATCTTGTTGATGATTACAGGAGAGTTGAATATCTCAGCAGGAACACTCGAAAGGGGGAGAAATAGGGGGAGGCATAGGGGATTCGGTCGATCTCCTGACTAATTATTAGCGAATTCGAATTATGTCAGGCATTTCTTGGAGACGTGTCTTGCTGTAGCCTTCTTGCATTCTTCCCATATTGGCAAAAAAAAGGCTACATTCCCTGGATAACAATCAAGCCTACCTATGAAAACTAAAAATTATTATTCTAGTTGTACAATTAACAATTATAAACAATTAATGTACAAGGCAGTACCCACTGGTCAGGAGATCCCATGACGGCCGTCGCGGGCGGCAAGGGGAATGTGAAGCGCGCGGTTCCCTACCTTAGAGTGCAGTCCGTCGCGGTGCATTCCAAATTTCAAATCAATATCTGGACAGCACGCGATATAGCAGTAGTGTCACATTAATTGTTAGGTTTAGTAGGGTATAAGGTAGGTAGGGAGGTATCCAAACAATTAGAAGAAACAGTATCTCGAGCAACAGCCCCATTGTCATGGCGAGTTATTCCAAGAACAAATATTCATCCAAACACTTTTAATTTTTCAAACGCAACTGGATTGCTTGAAATGTAAATGAGGTATGCCGACATTTCTTGAAAGCGAAATTCACAAACTCAAATAACATTATTGATCAAAAGGACTTACTAACAAATTCTACACGAGTAATCTAGAATAAATACGATCAAAATACACTTTTTGACGTTGAGATCATTTTATGGTAGAGTAAGGGTATGATTTTCAGTCAGAATTAATTTCCCGTAACTCGGCACTGGTATAGTCGGGTGAGTTGAAGTAGTTTAGCTTGAGACGTTGCAATAGGCTATCATCATCTGGGACGTTCAATTTCCGTCGCTCCACGTTCGTTCGAGATTCCGAATGAGCTCGTCGTGGTGACCTCAACACAATCTCATTTACTAGTTATGAGAGCAGGAAGTAAACCAACTGTACTGCAATTCTATTTCATTAAAACTCTGCAAAAAAGCAGCTACTGAACAATCAACTTTTAGGCGTGCTTTCCTGCATGGCATAAGATTATCGAGAACGACATGAGTTGAGATGAACACCGAGCCTTCAAGAAAACCAAAACCCCAGTTATAACTGCTCCTTCGCTTTTGAGATAACCGTCCACAAACTGCTCGGTGCAAATTATTGTTATGGATCCTATGAATTCATAGAAGACAACGGTCTCTCATTACAAGCTCATGGCTTATAAGTTGAACGGGGGAAGGGAAGGGGTCATCCCGAGTGGGCGTATCTTCCACAGTCAACGATTAGCGTCCTACTGTTAACACGAGGGTTTTCTTCGATACCGTCCTTCTCCGAATGGTTAAATATGTATATGCTTCCCCTACAAGGTTTGGGTGAATCGAGAAAGGTCTCTCTCTGGTCCTGCTAAAATAGGTTTATACTCTCCTTCCACTCATAAGTTTATCCATGGCGATATGGGTGGTGAATTTTCGCGGGTGGGCGGTTGAGTTAGCCAATTTTCATTATGGTACTGGTAAGTGCATGAGAACCTTCTAAGGCCATCTCAAGTAATTACAACCTCACCACTCTGAGATAGCATGACTAATCAAACGATACAGCCTAGCAAGATTCTCGTTAGTATCCTTCATGCGGAAAAAACCAACTGACAAAACTTACTTTATCACCTCCTTCACAGATTTGTCGTCATCCTTTGGGTCGGTCACCAGATCCTGAACAAAACCCTCTTTGGAACATGCTCACATAACTGACATTTTTCAATGAAGGTTGTCCCAAAATTGGCTCGAAAAAGGCATCGGCATCGTGAAACTCGTCATTCAGCCATTTTTTCTTTGAAGAAAAACAGGCATTGATAGATCTCATTTGCCTACACTGCCTAACTTCGCTGAACAAGAAGATGCAGCGTTATTGACACCCACCCTAGATATTCAACGTACAGAGTTTCGGTAAAACAGGAGACGGACAAATGTATCGGATTCACAGGGTCAACTCGTCGCGCGCGGCAGTGGAAGACAAGTTACTTTGCTCCTGCATAGTTCCAATACTTCAATCGGGAGGCGATTATTATTTCTGCTTTATTTGTTATGCTCCCTACTCGCTGCTCCGCTTTCTGCTTTATTTTGCTATATTTTTTATTTATTTGAAATGGAGAAACTATGTAAGCTCGACGCGCAGCAAACGGCTTGAAACAAGTGGCCGCGCAACTAGAAGATTCTCTGAGAAATAATCTCAATAGAGCAGTAAACTTACCACGATTAGTCGTTCGATAGCATCCCTTCGGTCGAACTCAGGGCTTTTTTCTGGGACTTCTGGCTCCTTCGTCGGGAAGGGGAACTTGTTCTCGAACATCACACAACCAACTTTTCTTGGCGGTTTCTTTCTTACCCACACTCCTATAAAAAGGATCGCATAGTTACTTCACGTAAAAAAAAGGGATCAAGTACAGCCGTCACGGAAGATCCAGTGTAACTTGGTGGGCGGAGTTGATTGAGGATTATCGCGCTCCCCATTGGCGAGTTGAGGCTGGGCGGGAGCTCCCTAACATCTCATGACGTCTAGCATTACTCCAAGTTTATAGTATTCACAGCGTGACTTTTAGTCTTGATACAGACCTCCCCGAGCGAAAATACAACACAGAATGGCACCCTTAAGGAAAATGGCGCTCGACTTACCTGTAGGAGAAGATGGTAGGGGATGCACAAGCGCTACTGGTATCGGCGACGCTTTTTTATCCATCATATAATCGCATGTGTCGAGCAGACGCGATTTCTCAGCAGCTTTCTGTAGTTCTGTAGAAGTTCCTGGTTCTGGTTCATACATGTCTGGTGTTTCCTTGTGAGTAATGGTCGACGAATTTTTCATGGACGGAAAGTCGTAGATCGAAATCGTTCTGAAAGTGTATTTCACTAAGTTAGCCATGAAAACACAATTTTCGACAAAGGTAAGAGTGGATTTAGCCACCTTTGGCCGACGTCATACGCGAGAGCAAGAAAATATTCTGTCACGCACGAAAATTTTCATAAAACTGGCTCGGACAAAAGAGAGCACTTCGTTTTGCAGTCCTGTTATGCGGCCATGCTCTGTTGACGGGTGGCGGCACTTCTCCCGAATTCTCACGGCTAGTGCTTCCGCGGCGGAAGTTCAAGTCTTTTCCCTCTTAACGCGCGACTGCGCGCCATCGGGTGCGGCAAGCGATTGTCGGGGAGAAGTACCCACACCCACCCCACATAGACCAGGCGTTACGCGCAAGAATGCGGTGGAAGCCGTCAAGCTTGATAACTACAGCAATAGCCATACGCATAGATGAAACAGACAGGACAAACAGGGCAGTAGCGATGCGAAGACGCTCCTTCAACGACTAAACCTGCAGCATATACGGCGCAAGAAACAGTGGTGAAAATGTGTGATTTGTAAACCCGTCATTGCATTATTTTACATACAATAGATGACTATGATTTGGTGAAGGTACAAAGGCGTACGAGAGTAGATGGAATTCCAGGTATGGTTTCTGTCCACCGCGCAAGTACATTGAACTCAATGGATTTTTTCTCAAGATCACTAAGGTCATTTGAATATCGATGAACAGTATTTCTGATATTTGTGAAGCCAGTTACCAGAAAAATTATAAAAGGTATACATTACAGGAAAACCTCTGAAAAGCATGTAATATTGTCCGGCATTCAGGGCACCTTGGTAATGTCCTTCGTGCTGTCGGCCGCTCTACAGGATCAGTCTGCGTCTCAGAGGACTTTCGATTTGACTCGGGCTCCGTACTGTCCGGTTTTGTCACCTGCTTTTTCTCGTCCTCACTTCGAAATTCGTTATAACCCGGATAGCTGGCAAATGCTAAAAAGCACTCAAAAAGCAAATGTTCGCTGTAGATTGAATTGCTGACGGCTTCTCACCTGTATGATTACTGTAGTTAACTTTCAACGAGCTTGTATACATGTATAAATGTTGATCTTCAGAAAGACCGAGAGCATTGCAAAGAACAGCGTCCACCTGATAAGAGGTAGGATCAGGAATTTTATTCGAAGAAAACAGTACGGAATTGAAGTTACGTTGGATTGAGGCTTTGACTTTCTCCTGATGGTTCTTGCCAGGTACATATATTAGTAAAGTAGGTAATTCAACTCCCACTCGCTACTTCTACAGTATACTTCCGAGATCATTTTAGAATATCGAAACGTTAAGTTTGCGTGGGCAGAACTCGCACGGAAACTATCGGACACAAATTTTTCTGTGATGGATAGAACTGGCTGCCAAAACATATGTATTGATCGAAAATGAGAATTAAAAAAAACATCAAAACCGGACGATTCGAGTGCAGGCTCACCTTAAACGTTACAATTCTATAGGCTCCCACGAATGCACATATCTTGGGCTTCAAACAATTTAACACGTTCAGAGCCGGTGCGCAGTCCATCTGAAACAGAAAGTTGCTATTTTCCCTTTACTTAATTGTTTGCTTTATTAATCTTCCGGTTCCTAAGAAACATGTTCCACGTACCATAAGGTCTGCTATTTGAGCAATCAATAAGTATGCGAACTGTGTCGAACCGTGGACTTTTTTGAAGAATGAGAGTCTATAAAAAATTTGTAAAGCCATGTCCAATTGTGTTAATTTTCAAGATGATAACCTAGAGGTTTCTAAACCTTTCTCGAACCGAATTTTTCAAGAGTAGAAGAGTTTACCGTTTCACGGTATACTTATCAGGGAGCAATTGGCACAGTTGCCTTGCTCCGGTCCACGTTTTCCAACTGGCTGCGAAATCCTTTGTGCACATATCCTCCATTGTCTTATAAGCGAAAATCAAGTATCCTAAATAGAAAAATACCTACTAATTATGCAACATTTAAAGTTCTCTGTAAATCGTGAAAGTAGCTCGGTGCAGATGTGTTGTAATGGCAAGTGGCGCACTATGACACTCGCATGGTCACGGGTTCGAATCCGTTAGTGCTATGCCAACCAAGCACTCCATCCCCCCAGGATCGCCTAATTGGTATCCGACTCGTCTGCACTGGCTTAAACATTGGCTGACCACCGTAACTCATTGGATAGAACCCAAAAGCATTAGGAGACGTCGCTACGATTCTTAATGGGAGTCGAATGCGAGGCGCATCCCAAAAAATGCGTCATAGGAGACGTCGCTACGATTCTTAATGGGAGTCGAATGCGAGGCGCATCCCAAAAATGCGTCATGGTATGCTCAGTTACTTGGAAAGCCTTGCTCGAATTGATAGGTTTCTGACATTAATGAGATCTACAATGCGACAATTCGCAACGAGAAGGGATGACTGCGACTGTTGTAATTCACGAAGATAACTTACCATTACTGTACAGTAGCTTACCGTCATCGCTTATTCCTTGCCTTGTAATGCTTTTCCTGCACTTGGGAGCATCAGCCTGTTGCCGTATCATTTGTACACATTCAAAAGTGCCTGAACTAACAACCATCTTATCAAGTTGTAAATGAACATCCTGATTAACACTGAGAAGCTCCTGGAAGCTCTTGTTGCTAAACAAAACTCAACAGCTCTCTAATGTCTGAAATTGTTACAACGTCAGATGTCTGTTTATCTCTTCCATTCAAATCAAAATTCTGGTTGAATGCAGTTTTGTGTATCTTTTCGCATAGAAGCACAAATTGACCGAGTCGACACGCGCTGGTACTTCATGGAGCCCTTGAAGGCAGGGTGGAGCAGAAAGTCGGAGATTTCAACGATCTACAATACACCTTTTATATTTGCCCGCCTGACCCAGAACATGCTCTTCCCCCTACGGAACTCGCCTCTACGAGATTGGGTCTGACAGGGTGCGGGTACTTCTCCCCGAAATTCGCGTCGCGCTCGTCGCATCCCTCGCGCGCAGTCGCGTGCTGTGAAGGGAAAGATTTGAATTACCAGGAAGAGGACGCGGTAGCCGCTGCGGAACCACTGCCCCTTGCCTTGGGAATCCAGGAGATGTACCACCATCCGAACTAACATAGTGAGAGTTGAGTCATTGGACGTCATAGACTTTTTCCTATAATTTAGTACCTTCCACTTCAAGGAAATTGAATTTATTAGCTAACAGGGACAGCATTTTTCTGGTTTTTTGAAATGCAAATCCACCGATAAAATGAGGCGATTGCACGCGGAAGTAGAGTTACCTTCTGACGTCATTAGAAGAGGACCATACATGAAAAACTAACATCCGCAAACATTTACAGATGCTCTTGGATACGGTATGTTCTATAAACTTTACTGGTAGAATAATAATATGATGGTAGCCTCTTGAGAACCCTACGATCGATACAAAGTGAAATGACTTTTATTTTTTCTCAGAGATAATAATTATTTGATTTGATCTGTTGACCAAATTGCCAATCGAGGAAGATGAGGGGAGACCTTTCAATACAATCAGGGACCTACAAGTTAAGTTCGAGTCAGTAATTGAACCTAACCTGAATTTTCTCCATGATTCGTTTTGCCCAAATTCTCGATATGCTTCTCGAACAGTTGTCCACGAATGAAAATCAGGCCCATACTTGGAAAGACGCCTGGAAATGGTTTCAAATTTGTTGAATTCCTGAAACTGAAAAGCAAATGTAATTATCGTTAATCAATTGTCCTTGCAACCATGTCATGGGGGGG